ATGCATTTTTACTCTCTATATATCTGATTATTATTAGTCACAGTTGGTTACTTTCTGAGCTCCTTGGCATCTGAGCATGGATATAAAATCATCAGGTAGATTTCAGTGGTAATGTTTTTCACATCTACTAATTTTTAAGAAGCAAATTTTTATGCTTTGAGGAATTATTATTATTGTTATTTTAAAATTTATTTTTACACCCACTTCTCTTTTTGTTTTGGTTTTTTGTTTGGTTTTAGTTTTTTTATTTTATTTATTATTTTTATTTTATGGGTATGCGTGTATTGCCTGTAAGTAGATGAGTGCACCCATGTCGTGCAATGCCCGCAGAGGTCAGAAGAGGCTGTTAGATTCCCTGGGACTGGAGTTATGGACAGTTGTTAGCTGCCTGTGGGTGCTGGGATTTGAACCCAGGTGTTCTGCAAGAACAACCAGTGTTCTTAACCACTGAGCCATCTCTCCAGCCCCCTTAGTTTGGATTTTGAGACAAGGTCTCACTGTATAGTCCTGGTTGGAGTGGAACTTTCTATGTGGACCAGGCTGGCTTCAAACTCATAGATCCTCCTGCCTCTAATCCCTACTGGGATTAAAGGTGTGTGCTAACATATTCTGACTGGTTTTTTTTTTTTTTCATTTTAAACAGTCTCATATAGCCCAAACTAGCCTCAAATTTAATATATATCAAAAGATCTTCCTGCTTTTACCTCCCCAGTGATGGGATTACAGGTGTGCACCTCCATATCTGTTTTTTTATGCAGTGATAGGATTGAATTAAGGCTTTGTGCATGCTAGGCAAGTACTCTGCCAACTGAGCTACTTCCCCAGTTCTACTTATGCTTCTTTTTCTGATGCTGAAATTCATTTTTATTTATATAATTTTATATAATTTTATTGAGGCAGGCTCTCACTTGTTAGCCCAGGTTGGCCTTGACCTCATGAGCCTCATTCAAAAGTCATGAAGTATGTGCGATATGCCCAGCTTGCGGTTTTTTTTTTTAAACAAAGATTCATGTATTTTTATCATATGTATGAGTGTTTGCTTCATGTATCTATGTGCACCACATGTGTGCCTGGAGCTCTTGGAGATCAGAAGAGGGTGTTGGATCCTCTGGAGCTGGAGTTAGGGATGATTGTTAGCCACCATGTGGGTGCTGGGACCCAACCCTGGTCCTCTGCAATAGCAATAAGTGCTCTAAACCACTAAGCCATCTCTCTAGTCCCCAAACTTGCTTTTTTAAAAAATATTGAGCTCTTACACTGGGTGTGGTGGTGCATGCCTGTAATCTTAACACCTGGGAGGTAGAGGCCAAAAAATAAGAAGTTCAAAATGATCCTCAACTACATAGTAAATCTAAGACCAGCTTGGGCTACATGAGACCCTGGATGTCAGTCATGGGAAAGGTATCCAGGTGACAGCCAAGGGACCTGGGCTGTTCACTTATCCTCAGATGACAAGCAGCACTCACCTACAGCTTCATGGGGTACACCTTCCTCAGTTAGAACTTTAATTTTTTGTTTTGTTTTATTTGGTTTCAAGGCAAGGTCTTGATGTAGCCCAT